TGCACGAGGGAGTATGTAGGCACAGAGCGGCGATGCTCTGCCGAGTCAGTCCTTTTCTTTTTCTTTTGTCCATAAGCCTTTAGCGTAGATAGTTTACACACCCTTTTAGATAGACAACACATGCGTGGATCCCGTCGAGTACGACGAACGTGAGGGGGTGCTCATACCTTCCCCTTGTGTAACCGACTCCCAAACCTAGGACTTATTTGCGATGACCTCGTCTTTTCCCGTTTTCGTCAGGTTTTTTCCGATCGTTTCCTTTCCCATCTTTGGGATAAATAACGATAGGTGGCGACTCTGTTAGTCATTGTCGGCCTTTTTTTTCGCAGTAGCGACAGGTATCATCGAAGGAAAGGTATGGAGAGCTAGGTTCATGGCTAATGAAATCATTATCACAAAAACAATATTCCATGTTGTGGAGATATGTTGCAGAACTAAAGAATCAATGTGCTGGGAATACTGTGAAAATTGACACGAGGTGACCATTACTTTCTATTCCACCAACATTTGGTAGGTTTTATTTTGTTTTGATGGTTGGAAGAAGGGATTTACTAATGGTTGTAGGCCTTTTATTGGAGTATATGGTTGCCACCTTAAAATAAAGTATGGTTGACATCTATTAGTGGCTATTGCTAGAGATCCAAATGACCATTACTACTCTGTGGCTTTTGGTGTAATGGAGATTGAAACAAAAGAAAGTTGGAGATGGTTTTCAACGATACTTATTGAAGATATTGGTGACCAAAGAAAATATGTTTTTATATCAGATTAACAAAAGGTACGTCGATACTATTTATTTCATTTGTTATATTTTGCATCATTTTTCTTATATGTTTCATTTACTATATTTTAACGCAAATGGAAGGGACTTGTGAGTGTCTTTGAAGACATTTTTGACCAAATTGAGAATAGGATGCATCTAAGACATTTGTATGCCAATTTAAAGAAGAAATTTGGGGGTGGAGCTGCAATAATGGACCTTTTGATGTGTGCATCCAAAGCTACATATTTTAAAGCCTAGGATAAAAAGATGAGTGAGTTAAAGCAACTAGATAAGAAAGCATGAGATTGGCCGATGGGAGTACTTACCAAGCTATGGTGTAAGAATTCTTTTATTTTTTACCCAAAGTACAATTTTACAAGCTAGGGGTAAACCAATCCTCACCATGTGTGAGTGGATTAAAAACTATTTAATGAATAAGGTTGCTAGAAATTTTGTTAAGCCTTAAAAATGGAAACATAACGTGATGCCCATAATTAGAAAAAAATTAGATAAAGAGGTTCTATCTAGTGGTCACTGGCTGCCAACATGGAGTATGTGTGAGATATCACAAGTTTATCATCCTTATAGAGAACTTTAATTTGTAGTGGATATTGGGGAAAAAAACATGTTCATGTTGCTTATGGGAGCTAGTGGGAATACCATGTAGAGACATGTTGTGGGTGCTATGCATTATCAAAAATTTGAATCCTCAATTATATGTTGATTCATGTTATTTGAGGGAGGCATATAAATTGTGTTATGAAAACACCATCAATGGGATGTACATGTAGCCATATGTGGATGTTAAAGATATATTACCACCAAAGTATAAGAATAGTCTAGGGAGGCCTAAAAAAATGGAGGTTTAGAGAGCATGATGAAACACGATCAAGGATGAAGAGGCCATATGTTGCTTATAGATGCACCAAGTGTGATAACTTTGGTCATAATGCTAGGAAATGCTAAAGCAAGGAACAAGACCCTAAAGCATTGAAGAGATTTTTTTTACATTATTAAATTGCAAACGGATTGGTTTCATTATTATGAATATGTTACAAACTGACTTGTGTTGAAATCTGTCTATGTGCAAAGAAAAACCCCAAGAACCAAGGATAAAACTGTTATTGAAGGCGACTAACCAAAAATTGGTACTGAAGGTGTCTCACCAAATACTAGTGTTGAAAATGACTTGGATGACCTAGAATTAGATGCATGTATTAAGGAAGTTCTGGCCTCTATGGATGCTTAACCTTTTCAATATCAACAGTCTTAACTCTGCAATCCAATACATGCCATTGAACAAGTTAAAAAATAAATACTTACCATGGAACAAGTGAATAAACTAGTTGCAAAAAAGAAATAACTTGAGAAGAAGAAAAGTCAAGCACCTAAGAGGAGTAATGATAGACTGAAATCTATCTAGAGGGATAAAAACAACTTTTCCCCAAAATCAAGTGAATATGCACCATTGGACATTGATGAATCTCATAGTCTCTACTTAACTATTTTATATCAGTTAGTAATGCACAAGGTTATGCTCATTTTGGAACAAGTTTATTTAATTTTATATCATAATTTTGTAACAGGTTAATAGTGCTTATTTTGGAACAATTCGTCCAAAATTTATGTTATTAATTTATAACGCACATTATGTCAATTTAACACATGCTATGTTATGTTTTGCAACATTTTGTCCAATTTTGTATCACATATTATTTTAACAGGTTATGTAATGTTATGTCTAAGTTATGTAATGTTATGTAACATAAAATATATAATAGGACCTAAAATGCCAAGGTTATGTCCAATTTCTGAACACACATGTTATGCCAAGGTTATGTCTAATTTTGGAGCAGACCTGACATGTCAAAGTTATGTCCAATTTTGGAACATACCTCATATGCCAAGTAAACAGATATGCTATCAAGTGCAAAACTCAAATGCCGCAACTTTTATATTTAAACAAATAAGTTACATTCAAAATCATAACAACATAACTCGAAAGCTTGATTTTCATTCATTCAAAATCAAATGATAATACATATTAACTTCCATTGTTATATGAAGCTATGTAATTACATCAAATACATTTTTTACATGCTCCTAAAAAAACAAAGAAAATCCAAAAATTAATTACAATTACTATGAGAAACTTCATATGCTTCTTGAGTCTCTCAACCTTTATTTTCATCTCCTCAATCTCTTTCGAACACAACTGATTTTCAAATTGAATCCTCGTAGACTCTATCATCCTGTCACATCTATTGCATCCATCATCATTTTATAGAGTTTTTTTTCTTTCACTTACGCCAAAATATTCATTATCCCAATGAAACAATTCACATTCTTTCTCTTTCTGCACAAAGAAATCGAATTCCGCAAATTACATAGAATAAGAGTAAAGAACACATAGAAAATAATAATGGGATCAATTAGAAAATAATAATGGGATCAATTAGAAAATAATAATCGAATTCCGCAAATTACATAGAATAAGAGCAAATTATATATATATATATATATATATATATATATATATATATATATATATATATATATATATATATATATATATATATATATATATATATATATATATATATATATATATATATATATATATATATATATATATATATATATATATATATATATATATATATATATATATATATATATATATATATTGAGAAAAAAGGAAATGCACCGACAATAAAATATTTTTACACCGTCAATCAATAAGAGACATGCATCAAAATAAATTCTAATTTTATTTTTAAAATACTGAAATGACATGGCAGATGTAAAAGTTTTAATTGGTTGTATGTGTAAAATTGTTTTATGTGGAAAGTGCACTATCTTTAAAAACTCTCTCTTATATATATGAAAAAAATAAAATGCACTAACAGTGTAAAATATTTTTACACTCTCAATCAATGAGAGACATGCATCAGAATAAATTCTAATTTTATTTTTAAAATACTGAAATGACATGACAAATGTAAGAGTTTTAATTGGTTATAAGTGTAAAATTATTTTTTATTGACAATGCAGTATCTTTACATACACTCACTCTCTCTCTCTCTCTCTCTCTCTCTCTCTCTCTCTCTCTCTCTCTCTCTCTCTCTCTCTCTCTCTCTCTCTCTCTCTCTCTCTCTCTCTCTCTCTCTCTCTCTCTCTCTCTCTCTCTCTCTCTCTCTCTCTCTCTCTATATATATATATATATATATATATATATATATATATATATATATATATTGTTTTCTCTCTTTTTTATTATCACAACCACCTATAATTTTAATTAAAAAAGAAATTAAATTAAATTTTTTTTTATTAATTGTATTTAAGAATATGAATATACTTTTGTTTCCATGCAATAACTTCTCTTAAGTTATAGGAAAAATCTTAGATAAAAACAATCATATAACACGTAGTTATACATAGAGTGGATCACAATTCTTTTATTAATTAAAAAATAAAAATAAAAGTTTTTCTTTCCTATATTTCAACCACCATAATTCTAGTTAAAAATAAATAAATTAAAATTTTTTGTCGTTTCTAAAAATATGGATTTAGTTATGTATCCGTATTGCTCAAATTCATATTCATATGACTTTTTCTTAATACACCCATCCATGTAACTTGTGTCTAACAAACCAGCGTTACAAACGGTAATTCAAGTCTAGCGCATCGAGTAGAGACAAGATTCACCATTTCCTGCAAATTGCTTTTATCAACATTCAGGTACTCAACAATCAAATCTCCCGTCTCTGTCATTCTCATTCTTCATACTCTTTTTCTCACGTAATTTACTACGTTACTAATAGTTTCGTATATATCAATTTTCATTCCTACCTTCTTTGTGTTTAAATGATGAGGATCATGTCTTAATAAAAATCGATAAGTTTCATCCAAATTTCTATGTATAGAATAAAATATACATCAAATTAAATCTAATAATCTGATATGGAGTGGATCTACATAGATGGCCGGAGTTGGTCTAAGACTGCGGTTGAGCTCTCCGGAGGGAGTTGATAGGGCAACTTATTATTGTTTGTTTGTCTTTCATTTCAATACTCCATATATTCCTTACAGTAAAAAATATATTCCGCAAAATATATTGATTTTTCAGATTGTCTTGTGTAAGAAAACTTTAAGAACAAGAATTCTATAAAAAAAAAAATAAAGATTTCACCTTTGTTAATATTTCTTGATACTTTTGTGTAGGAAAAAATCAATGGCATCAAGGATTCCACAGATGCAATCAAAGGTAGCTCAAGCATCAGCAGCAGTGTCAAACCATGGAAGTTCCTATTACAAGCTTTTAATGGAGCAGAACAAACACTATATCCAAGAACCACCTACGGTTGAAAAGTGTCAATCATTGGCCAAACAATTGTTCTATACTCGACTCGCAAGGTACGTGTTTATGAATTAAATCCTTATTGTTTATATTGCGAATTGCGATTTCGTGTTTTTCTTTCAAGTATTAAGTTAATGTTTGTTCTTTGTTATTGTAGTATTCCTCATCGTTACAGTGTATTGAGGAAGGAATTGGACTATGCTAAGAACATAATGAAGAACAAGCAGGATCTGAACTTGGAGAATGCTGGATATGCTGCTTTGTTTGGACTTGAGTGTTTTGCATGGTTTTGTGGGGGTGAGATTGTAGGAAGAGGATTCACTATCACTGGCTACTATGTTTAATTGTTGAAAATTTGCATGTTTAGATCACAAGATCTTTGATTCACTTTAGTTTGATGTCACGAAATGACAATTGAATTAGGTACGGTGAGCATAATAACTTTTTTTTGAAGCTTTCTGATGTTTTCCTTGAAGAAGTAGACATAGTAATTATTTAAGTTCTATATATCACATAGTGAAGGTTCTTATTGCTTCCTAAATAATGAATCATTCTACTTTGCTTGTTGGGTTTTATTGGATAATGTTGATGCACCCTTGCTCACATGATTTCTCCCTTATGTCAGTTAGAAGTTTGTTAATTAGTTGGATTCAGTTACATAAAGAATAATTAGTGTACATGCTATGCTATGCTAGTATATCATAATTGATATGTAGTCTCCATAGATACTAGGGAAGTTACTCTGTCTCCAATGATTATCTCCAATGATTATCTGTTTATGTTTGTTGATTGTCAATTTATTAATTTAGTGTACTTGTCTTAATTGAGTCTTCTCACATAGTTATATATTATAGAGCTGAGTGTTTAATTATTTTTACACGTGCATAAATTAAACTATTTGGTTAAAGTTATTAAACTATTTGGTTAAAGTTAGTGCAATATATTTCTAATTAATTAGTCGGAGATTTGGATCAAAAAACACATGATAGCATGATTTAATTTGTGTTAAGTCTCGATTCAAAATAATAGCTCGGTTTTGTTAAAATTTGAAATTATTGAATTGTTATTCAAATCACAAGAATGACGGACTCAAATCAAACTAAATGCGAATTATCAGGATTTTTATTACGTCCGCTTGATTCGAATCATGGCATAATTTGACTCGAATCAAGCATAATTATAAAAAACATGTTTTTGCTTCTGTTCATTTGATTCGAATTACAGGAAAGTCTAACTTAAATCATAAAGGTTTTAATTCAAATCATGAAAAGGTTTGATTCGAATCAAATCATGCCTGCAAATCTTGGATTTTGCATCTGTCAAGTTAATTCGAATCATAGACTTTTGGGACTCAAATAGAAAAAAGCTCTATTCGAATTATACAAATCATTTATAGATTTTTAAGTAATTATTCAAATTATTCACTCGCTTGACCTGACGCATACCATTTTTCCTTGACTTAAATTAAATGGATATTTTCTCTCATTTTTGTGCCTTATCACCAACACATATATCGACCATTTTGAAAAATATCTCTTGCAACTATTCTATTATTTATAACTCACAACACATATTTTCTCTCAACTTTCAAAATCATTGAGTTTTGTTTTAAGTTTGCAAGTGAAATCTTTGTTCATCTTTAACCTCATGCATTTTTCATTGTTGTTTGGATTAAGTTCTTATATCAAGGTATGAGATATGTGTAAGGAGGATCATTTTTGTGATTAATGCTTTGTGAATATTTCTTGAAGATTTTAGGGTTGGGATGTTTGTTTGGTTATGGTTGGGATTGATAATCCTACATAAAAAGGAGTTTTTTTCTATCCAATATTGCTTTAGTAGAGCTTTGTAGAAGCTTTTACAAATGAAATTGGAATTTTTTTCATCTTCAAACAGTTCAAGGTTCAAGGAATCGGTAGAGGTGAGTAAAGCTCGCTGCAGAATGGAAGTTTTGAGAAGCATTCTTGAAGCTGAAAGATAGAAGTTGGAGTTAAGTAAAGATTTTAAGGTATTCAGGGTTAGATGTTGTATACAGTTCTGATTGAAGTTTTTTATTTTCAGTATTTCTCAAATCGCAATTATATTAAAAGAGTCAGTGTAATAGTTTAAAAATCATAGTGGAAGAACAAAGATTTTTGAATGGAAAAACATTGGAGAGTGGAGTAGGCACAAGTGACGAAAAAGTGTTGAACCACTACAAATCTCTCTCTCTCTCTCTCTCTCTCTCACACACACACACACACACACTCACACACACACACACACACACACACACAGATTTAACGTTTTCTTAGAATCACGTGATATTAGAGTTTATTGTATTGGTAGTGATTTGGTATGTAAGTTTTAGGTCTAGGTTAGATTGAGATTCTAAAACGTTCTTATTTTTTGAGTTAGTTTGAAAACAGTAATGCTACACATACTGTGTGAATGTATTTTTGGTTAATTGAAACGTTGACTGATTTAGTATTTTCATCAATCGCTCACACACACACATGCACACACACGCACACAGATTTAACGTTTCCTTAGAATCACGTGATATTATAGTTTATTATATTGGTAGTGATTTCGTATGTAAGTTTTAGGTCTATGTTAAATTGAGATTCTAAAACGTTCTTATTTTTTGAGTTAGTTTGAAAACAGTAATGCTACACATACTGTGTGAATTGATTTTTGGTTAATTGAAACGTTGACTGATTTAGTATTTTCATCAATCGCTCACACACACACGCACAAATACACACACACCAATATACACGCGCGCGCACACACACATATTTAACATTTTCTTAGAATCACATGATATTAGAGTTTATTGTATTGGTAGTGATTTCGTATGTAAGTTTTAGGTCTATGTTAGATTAAGATTCTAAAACGTTCTTATTTTTTGAGTTAGTTTGAAAACAGTAATGCTACACATACTGTGTGAATTGATTTTTGGTTAATTGAAACGTTGACTGATTTAGTATTTTCATCAATCACTCATTTTGTATATCTAATTAAATGTATATTATGGTCAATCCAAAAAAACATATTTTATACGAAAAATTCTGCTACGGCAAACAATTTTTTTTTTCAAACTATAATTTTCAAAAAGTAAACAATTTTAAACTGGTCTTTTTTGTAAGGCCTATTCAACCTCTGCCCCCATCTAGACTATTTGATTTCATGTTCTCCCAAACAACTAGTAAATAAACTAAAATGTACGAATATATCATCCGATAATAAAGAGTTTTATTATAAACTATTACAATAGATTCATTTTTTCTAACATGGTATCATCAGCCTTAAATTTTCCTTCAGCTTAACTTCTTCTTATTTTCTCCTTCAAATTTGAGAATATGCAAAATCACTTCATTTTCCTTCAAAATCCATCAATTTTAATTTAGGCAAACAAACTCACAATAAACCCAAATTTCTAGTTTCTTCATTCTTCCACTCTTCATTTTCACAGTGAAAACCTAACAATTGATCCAACACATAACATCACATCGGTGTATTATGTTCATCCCAGCAACATGCCCAATTTCCTTACCGTTTCCCCACAACTCAGCAGTGGCAACTATCTTGCATGAAGGCGTTCTATGTGAAGAGCTTTGAGCGGTAAATACAAGTTTGGATTTGTTGATGATACAATACCAATGCCATGCATGAAGGATCGTAATTTCCATCGTTGGAAATAATACAACAGCCTTATACATTCATGGATTGCAAATTCTATTAACACACAAGTAGCACAATCCATTGTGTTCATTGAAAACATTATTGACGTTTGAAGAGAGTTGAGGGACTGTTTTCTAAAATCATATCACATGTGTCACAATATTAAGGTCAAGAATCAACAATCTGAAACTAGGTTCACAAGTTTTGATAGCGGAACCTTTACCAACCGTGACTCGTGTATACTACAAGAAGAAAGCATGATGATTTTAGATCCGGTAGAAAATGAGTCCAAAATTTTTGTTAATCTTGCAGAATTGTGTAGACTTTAAGAGTGTGTTTGGATGAGATAATTGAGAATTTTTAAAAAAATTTAAAATCTAAGCAATTTAAATGATTCAATTGAAATTCTTTTGTTTGTATGAAGTATTAAAATGATTCATTGTTAAATTTTTAGGATTATTTTCATAAATTTTACAATTTTTGAGCTAAATTTAAAACATGAAAAACAGAGATGAATTTGTAATTTTTGAAAATTTGAAGGGACTAATTTGTAAAATTTGAAAAAAATTAGGGACTTATTTGCAATTTAAAAAGTTTTTAGGGGTGAATTTAATTTTTTTTATAAAATATGAGGACCATCTTGCAACATTTAAAAAATTAACAATAGACAATTTAACAATTACATGATATAGAATGAAGAAGTAAGGGGCAACAAATTACTTTTCTTCATTAAAATGCTTCATCCAAACACACTCTAAGAGAAAGAAGGGGAAACATTGGTTATCAGGATAAAGGGAAAAATAAATTATTCTCTCATTATGGACAAACTGAACAAATTGTTGATGTTATAGGAATAACATATTTACTCAAGAGCATATTTACTATGAAAAAATTGTCGAGTTCTGTCAACAATTTAAGTGCAAATGAACAAGAAAAAGCCTTGATATTAGAAGTCATTTAAATTATAGACCTATTTTCACTCAAGAGCATTATGACCTTAATGATTTTCACTAGAAAGGACACCGTTCCTCCTAAAATACAACATGTTTTGATGAATGCCTTTTTTTAGTAAAAGTGTTCAGGATATGTGCTAGTCTCTCATGTTGGCATAAGGAAAAATAAGAAGATAAAATCCTAATTTCAAGAGAGATAGGTTATTTTGTTATTCTTGTATACTTGTAATCTTGTTTCTAAGAGAAAGAAAAGAATAGCAGTTTATAACTAATCCTTGTTGTTCCTTGTTGTTTTACCTTATTTGTTTTGTTAACCTTAACCCTTGTGTGTTTCTTGATCATAAAGAAACAATTTATATTTTGTTTTAAGACATCCGATTCACAACAAATTGGTGCGGTGAGCATAGAGAAAATGCCTTCAACAAAGTATGAGATTGAAAAGTTCATCGGAGTGAACGACTTCGGCCTGTGGTGCTTGAAGATGAAAGCCCTACTGGTTCAGCAGGGTTGTTTGGAAGCGTTGAAGGGAGAGGCAACCATGGGCGTTGCATTAACGACAAAACAAAGACGACCATGATTGAGAAATCCCACAATGCAATATTGTTGAGTCTTGGTGATAAGGTTCTTCGACATGTATCAAAGGATACTACAACATCGGGACTATGGGGGAAACTTGAAAGTTTGTACATGACCAAATCTCTGCTGAATCGACTCTACCTAAAGCA